AGGAAAAGGATGCCAGATAGCTGTGAGGAGGTCTGGCTCAGGCCAGAAGGTGCTGTCCTCCCAAGTGACACAGACCAACAAGTCTTGAGGACATGGTGACCTTCTGGTCTCGAGGGGCTCCACCTGGTCACGCAGAAGGTGCAGAGCCTACCCAGGGGACCCGGGCTGCAAGGCTGAAGTCTTCGGCTGACCTGAAGCCTTCCTACAGTAAGTCTTTCTGGAGGATCCAGTCAGTACTGGGCCGCATCTTCTAGAAGCTCACCCTGCCACAGCAAACCAGAGCACAGCCATCTCTGTCGGCCTGGGCCCTGCCTGCCAGACTCTGACCACTTCTGACAAAACTGCCTTCCCGAGCTCCTGACACATCTGCTGCCTTCTGGGCCATGCCCAGGTGGCCACCCTGAAAGTCGCACCTGGCCTGCACTGGTTGTCACAGAGACTCAGGAGCACTTTGCTGAAACCCACAAGCACCCCCGTGGCCTCTCTTTGGGCTGTGCCCGTCCTGACAGCTTGGCAAGGCTCAAGAAGACATTCCCAGGGACACGTCCTTCACCAAGGAGCCTCCTCCCTTTCCCGCCCCATCCCACCCCAGCCCTTCCTCGCAGCTTCACTCGCCACGGCACGCACAGAATTTCCATTCAGGGACTCTCCCATCTATTCTCAAATCACATTCACTTTCAGACTTTCTGGCTGTGAGAAAATATCCTACCTTTAAATGTTTTGAAATCTGCTTTCTTCAAGTCTAGGGAAACATTTATGGAGAGTACTCTGTGTGCCGGGTTCTGTAGTCTCGGCTGACGAGGGTGTGAGGATGAATAAAATACAACCTGTTTACATGGGGGAGACAGACTTTTTTTTCATGAGGAAGATTGGCCCTGAGCTAACATCTGTTGTCAGTCTTCCTCTTTTTTTCTTTCTTCCCAAAGCCCCAGTACACAGTTGTATATCCTGGTTGTAGGTCATTCTAGCTCTTCTATGTGGGACACCACTGCAGCATGGCTTGATGAGTGGTATGTACATCCGCGCCCAGGATCCAAACTGGCAAACCCCAGGTCACTGAAGTGCAGCGTGTGAACTTAACCACCCGGCCAGCCCAGGAGACAAAATCTTGAACAGGTAATATGGAAGCAGGCTGAAGGTTTCCCCAACTCAGCCTGGGGGAGGGCCCGGGGCACCTCCTAGAGAAGATGCCCACCAGCCAAGTCTTAAAGGATGAACAGAAATGGGTGAAAGAGGGGGATGAGGTGGAGAAGGAAGATCAGACGGAGGGGAGTGTAGCAGTGAGAGGAGAGCACTACAGGAAATTGCCAGGGGCGCTGAGAGGGCTCCAGTGGCCGAGGGCCTGGTGAGACAAACCAAGGTATTCACTTTTCCGCTGAGGCTGGTGCAGGAGCCACTGGAGAGTCACATGGTCCTATCTGCATTTGTAAGGGTCCATTCCAGAGAAACACTCAGGAGTTGACACTGGAAGGACACAGTTGAGTGGCTGGATGCAGGAGTGAGGGATGGAAGAAGTCAGGGGCGGTTTGGTGGTTTGGGGTGCAGTGGTAGAAATTCTCCAAAATATTCCCACAAAGTTACCCCATCTTCCCCTCTTATTGAATTCTTGCCCAGAAGCTTTTCACAACGATATACAGTGGGTGGCCCACGTGCCTGGTGCCTTTTTGGAACAAGAGTTCTGCACCCATGACTGCGACCAACATCCTTCTGACATTACCTCCTGCTCAGAAGACCGTCCCCACACACCCACCACACACCACGGTGGGCCCAGCAGCTGTGACTGTACCATGGGAGGCCGTCACCGAGGGCTGGACTGTGGGGGCCTGGGGGATGCTGCCTCAGATTGGCGCCGTCAGTTTCTTCCTGCTAGGACTCCAGCGCTGTGGGCTCTGGGGACAGTAGACCTGGGGACACAAGAAGACCCGGATTGACAGGACGGCCCTCCCTACCCTGTTGCACACACAGAGGCCAGTCCGTAGAGGATCCTGACCAATGTGCAGTGGGGAGAGGCCTCAGCCCAGAGAGACCATCTGAGACAGAGCAGTGGTACTCGATGGGTTTCCTATATCAGGCTCTGAGCCCTCCTGAGGCCCAGCACCCCCTCCCATGCTTGGACTCCTCAAATGCCCTGTAGCCCTATAATAAACTCTCACTTTTCAAACCCCTCACCGGCCTAAGTGGGTCTTTGATTCTTGCCATCAAGGAGTATAGACTAAGACAACACTGTGCTCTTTCTTCAGTGAGCTGTCCCCTTGGATTGGTTTACAACCCATTCCCAGGGCCCAGCACGGATGCCTGAGGCCAAAAGGAAGAGGAACTGGCCCTCTGCCCCACTGCGTCCTTGAGAACCGTGGGGCATCTCCTCCTCTCTGCTCCCAGTGGGGTGGCCCATGAGGCAGTCGGAGGGCCGTACCTGCTACCCTCGGCCCGACTGCTTTCTGAAGGGCAGGGTTCCCCCACGCCCAGGTCTCCACCGCCACTCCCCCTTCCCCAACCTCAGGGCTGTGGGGTTTGGGGACCATCAAACTTCTGAGGATGTGTGAGTCAGGGCTGGGAAGGTGGCCCCAGCAAGTGTTCCCAAGGTAACCAGGGGCAGCTCATCCCAGGTCGACCAAAGAATTTCTATGGAGGACAGAGGATCCCACGGGGGCGGGAGGAAGGGACATGCAGGTGTGCCCAGAAAGCTGTGAATATAAAGAGAGGGCAGGACAGGACCACCCTGGGACCCCCTTCCTCACTTCCAGAGGCCCTCTAGGCCTGCTGCCTGCCAGCCCCACACCCTTAGAGGCTGCTGCAGGGGCCTCCCTGCTACCACGCCGGCCCAGCCCCCACACAACTCACTTGGTCCGCCCCTCCAAGAACTTGATTATCCAGCAGTTTCATCTCCTCTTCTGCCCAGCACCCAGGGCTGGCCCCTGAGCCCCACTGCTCTCCTGGAGGGGCTGGGGGAGGGGAGGAGACTGGGGCTGACCGGCCGCTCTGATGATAGATTGTTCCATCAGGATCCTGCTCAGGAAGGAGACTCCTGGCTTGGTCACTGATTCGGGAAAGTCCCTTCTCCCATGCCTCACTTTATCCACCTGTCAAATGGGCAGATTCAGTGTCTTCACCAACCCTCCTGCCCCTAGGCTAAGAGAGAGGATTGGTATGCCTTGTTTATTTTTCTTGGGGGAAATCTTACCTTCAAAGTACAGTGCTTTTATTACAGACACTTACGAAAACAACAGCGGTGACAACTGACTGACTTCATTGCAATAGTTGAGAAGACAGAGAGAGTGGGAAGCATGACCTGGGGCCTGGGCTGCTCATTTCCCAAAGTCCCAAGGGTTTCTAGTCCTCCCCGGGGAAGCTGGGACCGAAACTCCCCTGCCACCTGTGCACCCAAGTCAGAAACTACAAAAAGCCTAAATGGCAGGTATGAATTGCACCACAGGTGGATTATATGAAGCTGGGAAAGGGCTATTTCCATCCCGCTGGTGGCAGGACTAGGATGAGAGTGATAGATCCCAGGGGAGTAGTTCCTTCTCACAGCTCACAGTGAGGAGGAGAGAGGAGGAGCAGGCCCCTGGGAGACCAGCCTCCCTGATGGCAGCCTCCAGGGGGCCAAGGGGGCCCCAGCAAAGGCGGAGGGCTCGGTGAGTCAGACGGGAAGGGTGAAAGGTGGAGATGGTCACAGGGCAGTGTGGTCAGGGGCCTCCCTCCACATGCGGGGGCTGGGCCTCCAGGGGCAGTGCTGGCCCTGGACCCTCCCCAGACCTGAGGTGCCAGGTCACCCCCAGCCCATTCCTCTCTGCAGCCCTGATCCTCATCTCTGAGTCACCCTTTGATGAGGTTCCATTTCCTGTCTGCGCCCCGTTATTAACTGGACTGTTCCTTCTATGTCCGTGTACTCTTGCGCCGTGGCTCTGAGAAAACTTTCGGGGCAGTGACAGGAAGTGTTAAGGACTGTGCCAAAAGCCCAGCCCCATCTCAAAAAAATGTCACTTCTTTATCACTGACCTTCCCATAGCAGCCAAAAAGCCCTGTGCCCCTCACCCACCCCACAAACCACAGCTGAGTTTGGGGGTCGCAGGGGCCACAGACCCAGCCCCTCCATCCAGGGCTCCCGTTGAGGGGGGAGCTGCCATGAAAACTCACAAACCTCTATTCTTTGAACACAAGTAACATGTGTTTATTGCACAGAAACCAGAAAGTGCAGATGAGCAGAGGAGAATTAAAAACTGCCCACGATCCCACCCAGAGATGATCACTGTTTCCTGCCTAGCCCTGTGCACTGTTTCATAATCAGCTTTTCGCACTTGTTAACACATTGTATCTTTCAGGTCAAAAGAGCCATTTCCACATCATTTTCTGGAATGACTGCCCAGTGTGTCACGTGAGTTGCTCATTTTACCAACTCCTTCGTGGAGGTGGCAGGGGGACTGTTTCTGGTATGGTGAATAATGCTGCCAGGAACACGCTCCCTCCGTTTAGCAATATCTCCCTACAACCTGCTCAGCTATCCTCTGGGTATTGGGCACGCAGCCATGCACGGAACAGAGACCTGCGCAGACACATCTCCGGGTACATCCTCAATTAGTTCTTTCAGCTGACGACCGGATGGGGCACTGCTGGGCCGCAGGGCACCCCTCTGCTGGGACTCACCATCTCAAAGGACCGAGCCTAAGTGGCCCCTCTGAGAGCCACTCTAGACAAAGCCTCACGGCTTCTCTGCTCCAGATGGCCTGGCGCATGACTGGAGAGGACAGACCAGGCCCCAGGAGAAGCCCGGAGAGGAGCCTGGTTCCTGGGCCTGTGTACCAGTCTTGCCACCCCTTGGGCCAGGGCTTCACTGGGTGGCTGTTTTCCCAGCCTCCAGATTGGGCTGCCAGGTCTCGGCACGAAATATAATATTTGAAGTTGGGCCACCCTAGATAATACAGAACGACGGAGGTGCCTCCCCTCCCCAGCTCAGAGGCAGCCGTCCCAGGAGGATCTGGGGAGGGGAGAGGGCACCCAGGATCCCACCCCAGGCCATGAGGGCGGGTCCGGACCTGGCCCTGCCCCCCTACCCCAGGCCTCCGCCCCTGCCCTTCCAGCGCTCCAGGCGGGCCGGCGCCCAGGTAGATCGGGAGCCCAAACCTGTCGGGCCGGTTTTGAGAGCAGTGGGACCGAGGCTGGTGAAGGATGCACGGCCTGCCCCGTGCTCCGCCCGCTCTCTCAGCCGCCTGAGTCCGGCTCCTGCCTGCCCTGCAGCCCACCGGGCCGACCCCATGATGCGCGCGCCAGGCCTCCTGGCGCCCCTGCTGGGCCTGGGGCTGGCCCTGAGACTGCCGGGGTCGGGGGCCGCGGACTGCGGGTCCCTCGGCCCGGTGGACCGCCTGGCATTCGCCCCGGCGGCCAGGGCGCCGTGGCTGGCCCCTCGCGTCCGCGCGCCGGGTCCCCTGGACCCCCTCTATGGCACCGTGCGCAGCTTCCTCTCCGTGGTGCAGCTGAACCCCTTCCCCGCTGGTGAGTGCGCCTCCTCCCCCGGGCAGTCTTTGGGAGTTGTTGCGTCCCCAGCCAACACCCCTGCCCCGCTCCACCGTGGGGTGTGCCTGCCCTGTTAGCAGGCACTTGGAAGGCAGGGTCTCCATCATTTCCCACTCCCATCTTCCTTCCCAGAAGCCCCGGGGACCCAGGGGTATCACCTGGAGTCGCTCCAGGACCTTCCTGTGTGACCTTGGGCAAGCCCCTTTTCCTTTCTGAACCTCAGTTTCTGGTCTTAAAGTAGAGGAAATTACGTTAGAAGTTCCCAAAGACCTGGTTAAGATTTTCTCTGGGTCCAGTGGTGCCAAGGGTTGGAAGAACCAGGAGGGGCTGCGCGACCCCTCCCAGCCTGTCTCCTGTCTCTTGAGGGGAAGGGTTCTAGGCCAGGCCCCTTCTCTGCTTTTTACCAGGCCAGTGGTTTCCCTGCTGCAGGGCCTAACTGTATGACCCAGGAGGAAGGTCTGGCCAGGCCTCTCCTCAGCCACCCCCTTTCCTAGTAGCACCCAGACACTGCCTTCCCGGAGGTGCCCAGGTGGGGGGGGGGGGCCCTCTGCAAAGCCCACCTTTGCCTGGCAGTGGGGGTGAGCACCGGGGCAGGGCAGTCGCTGCCCCCAAACCTCCAGCGTGGCTCTTTCCCATAGGGCTGGTAAAGACCCTGCTGAATGAGCCAGCTTCCGTGAAGGTGGATGAGGTGAGCCCTGGGGGAGGTGCAGGCGAGGCAGTTGGGTGAGCATGAGGGGCAGAAGTAGAAAGGCCTTGCTCAGCTCAGCTCAGCTCAGCCCACCTTGCAGCGTGTCCCCCAGGGTGGGGTCTCGGGCATCCCTTCCCCTCTTGCATGAGCGCTGTAGTCGGCAGACCAGGGTTCAATCCCCAGCTCTGCCGTTAACTGGCTGTGGGTTTGCAGTCAGCCCCAACCTCCTTGAACTTCAGTCTCCTCATTTGTAAGACAGTAAATAACAATGAGACCCTGCACCTCGTATGGGTTCAACCAGTTGCGTGCCCGTGCCTGCTCGTGCGTTCCCCCGCGTGCGTTCCCGCCCCTTCCGGTTTCCCCCTGAAGTCGGGTGGGGGCGAGCGGGGATGGGGAGGTCAGTACAGCGCTCAGGCCGTGCTCCCTGCCCAGGTGGTGCGGTACCAGGCAGGCTACCTGGTGTGCGCTGTGATCGCCGGCCTCTACCTCCTGGTGCTGCCTACCGCCGGCCTCTGTTTCTGTTGCTGCCGCCGCCGCCGGCGCTGTGGAGGCCGCGTGAAGACGGAGCACAAGGCGATGGCCTGTGAGCGAGGCACCCTCATGGCCTTCCTGCTGCTGACCACCCTCGTGCTGCTGTGAGGGGCGCCCAGGCCAGGCGGGAGGTGTGGGCCGAGGCCGAGGCTCCCACGGGCACCCAGCAAGCCCCTTCCTCCTCCCTGTCCCCGTAGGATTGGTGTGGTCTCTGCCTTTGTCACCAACCAGCGTGTGCATGAGCAGGTGGGCCCCAGTGCTGCGGCTGTGCCTGAGACTCTGCTCAGCCTCCGGGGGCTGTTCTCTCATGTCCCCCAGGTGAGCACCGAGTAACGCCTTATCCCCACACGGCCCCCTGAGCACCAGACCCAGGAGGGACAGAGCAAAGTGGGTCCTGCAAATTAGCCCGTAGCCTGCAAACTGGAAAGGGTGCCCCTTCCGACATGCACCTGACTGCCACCTGCTGGAGAGTCGCTGTGATACATAAATGCACCCGCAGTGTCCTCAGGGTGGACACCCAGCTGTACACCAGGATGGGGAAAGGGACCAGAGCGGGAGCTGTCGGGTGACAGGGGAGGAGCAGCCTCATGGCCCTGTGTTTGCCTAGGAGCTGCAGGCCGTGGCACAGCAGTTCTCTCTTCCCCAGGAGCGAGTCTTGAAGGAGCTGGATGGTGAGGGTTACAGCTGGCCGGCAGGCTGGCCAGCCCCAGGGTCCCCCTGCTCCGGCCTTCCTTGGGGGGCCCTCTCATCCCCTCATCCCAGGCTCCACCTGGGATCACCCTCACAGAGGTGGGGCTCGGGCCCAGCAGGGCAGCACAGCAGCCACTCTGCTGCAGGACCAAGAAGCCAGTGCCCACCTTGCGGAACCCAGTGCCAGGGTCTGGGGAGGCTAGATAGACGGGCGGGGAGGGCCCCTAGGCTCCTGGGGGGCAGCCCTGCAAACAGCCTTGCTCTCCAGGTGTAGGCGTGAGCATCGGGAGCGTGATCCACACCCAGCTCAGGAGCACCGTGTACCAGGCACTGGCCTCAGTGCACAGCCTGGGCCAGGGTGAGTGGGACCATCTCCTGGGTGGGGGTGGGGCCCAGCAGGCGCCCTCCTGGGGGCAGGCCCCGCTCTCATTCAGCACTAGTTTTCTTATGCCACCTCAGCAAGCCCCACCCATGACTTTCTCATGGCTTTATCCCAGGATCCCCTCTGGCATCCCTGTCTACCTCCTGGTTTAACGGGCCCTGGGGCAGTTCCATTGTACAGAGATTGTTGACCGCAGGTCCCTTTGCTTGGGGGAAGGGAAGACGTTCTGCCTCTTGCAAGGTCTCTGAGGATACCAGGAGCAGTGGAGACTTCTCAGTCTGGATGTGGGTCTCAGCCCTGCAGGTCTCCGTGGACCACCTCCGAGCCCTGAACGCCACCTCGGTGGAGCTGCTGGAGGGACAGCAGGACCTGGAGCCGGCTGTCCGGGAGCGCCGGGAGCACCTCCTCGCCCTGCTGCAGGAACCCAGCTGCCGGGGCTGTGCAGAGGCCCTGAGCCAGGCCCGCGCCCTGGAGCTGGGAGCCAACTTCAGCCAGGTGCGGCCCCAGGACGGAGGCCTCTCGGAGAGAAGCAGCCCCCGCTGCCTGCTGCCCCAGGGACCCCAGGCGGCCTGTGTTCTGGTGTTTCCTGAGATGGACTCCTGATCCTTTCCTCTGGCTGCTCCTCCCTTGTCTCCACACACCCAGCTTGATGAGGGTCGTCCTGGCTGTGGCCAAGCCATTTCCTAGGCAGGCACTGTGCGTGAGCTTCCGTATATTAGCCCCTTGAGTTCTCGCTGCCACTCCGGGCAGAAGGGTCTCTGGTGATCCCCATTTTGCACACAAGGTCACTGAGGGTTCAGAGGGCTCTGCTCCCCACCCTCCCCCAGGGACCCCTCTCAGGCCTCTCCATGGACTTTGTCATATCCCTCCCCCTTTTCAGATGCCCGCCATGGACGATGTCCTGCATCAGCTGAAGGGTGTCCCAGAGGCCAACTTCTCCAGCATGGTCCAGGAGGTGAGTGCCTGCCTGGTCTGCCTGACCTTTCCCCTACCTGGGAACTCAGTGAGGGGCCTCAGTTTCCCCCTTTTGGGGTGGTAACCTAAGACTTGGTTCAAATTAAGGCCTCACCTACCACATGGCGCCCTGGGCTGGAGGCTCATGATGCCCATTCTCGAGTACACATGGTCTGGTGGAGGAGGCAGGCCTAGAACTCAGAAGGAAGAGCTAGGACCCTCAAGGCGGGGGCTGGGTGGCTAGGTAGCAGGCACACAAGCTGAGCCCCAGAGGACAGGCAGGCTATCTTGGGTGGAGACGGGCTGTGGGGGAGGGCGCAGCGTGAGTCAACAGCTGTGACCCAGGGCCTGGAAAATGCCGGCGTTGGGGAAATGGTGAGTCAGCTGTGCAGGGTGGCTGGAGCGGAAGGTTCTAGGAGGGAGAAAGTGGGAGCTGAGGCTGGAAGAGTAGGCTGGAGCTGGACTTTAGGGAAATACACCTGGCAGGATGTGCGGGATGGATGAGAGAGATGAGAGGATGGCTGTGAGTCTACTGCAACAGTCTAGGCGAGAGGGGTGGGAGAGAAAGGAGGGGTCTTTGAGGAGCAATGTTTTGGGGAGTTGAGTCAGGCCGGGCCAAGGGAGGGGAAAAGAAGGCATGGACTAAGAGAGCAAAAGGAAGCCTGTTTCCTGATTTCTTGAGCTGGGAGAACCAAGGGGGGTGTCCTCCCTCTGGGCCTACTGACGTTGGGGTCCCCCAAGCTGGGACACCCAGGCAGAGAGTGGGAGGCACAGCCACCTTTGGTTCTGGCAGGAGAACAGCACCTTCAACTCCCTCCCGCTCTTGGCTGCCCTGCAGACGGCCGACATGGTCAGAGGTGAGGCCCTGCGCAGGGGCCAGGCTGGCTGTCCAGCGTGCCACCCCCACCGCACCCCTACCAAAGAGGCTCGTTGAGAGAGGAGAGGGGCGGTGGTGTGGGGTGGGGGAGAGGGAAGGCTGTCCTCTTGGCTGGGCCTGGACAGAGAACAGCCCCTCTCTGTGGGTCCCAGATGTTTTTCCTGCACATCTGTCTCCTCCCCGGGCGCCCGGGTGCCTTCCCAACCCCGTAAGTCCCTGCTGCTTTGGGCAGAGCTGAAGAAGGCCATGGCCCAGGAGCCTGGAGGGCTGAGGACACTGGCTGAAGCGTTCCCGGCCTGGGAGGCAGCCTCTCGCTGGAGCCGGGCACTGGAGGAGGTGGAAGAGAGCAGCCGCCCCTACCTGAAGGAGGTGCAGAGATATGAGAAATACAGGTGCCCGGGAACCCTTGGGGGTGGGGGTGGGCAGCCCAGCCTCTCAGCCACCCTGGGCCCAATTTCCAGCTCTCATCAACTCCTCATTATGCTAAGCCTCTGCCTCCCTTTAAGCCAAGACCCCTTACTCCGTGGGCCTCCATGTCCCCACTTCGGCTGTGTGCCCTTGGGATCTGAGCTTGGGAACCCCATTGGAGCAGAGGGTCCTCAGGAAGTGTCCACATCTCACTTCTAAAGCCTTAACCTTGGGGTTAGTGGCCTCACTCAGCCACCAGGTCCTACACTAGCCCATCCTGGTACCCAGCTGCCCGTTCTTGGTGACACCCGTACCTTCTCTGTGGCAGGTGGATTATGGGCTGTGTGCTGTGTTCCGTGGTCCTACTTGTGGTGGTCTGTAACCTGCTGGGCCTCAACCTGGGCATCTGGGGGCTGTCTGCCAGGGAGGACCCCAGCCACTCAGAAGCCAAGGGCGAGGCTGGAGCCCGCTTCCTCATGGCGTAAGAAGGGCTGGGGAGAGGAGGGCTGGGGAGGGCTCTCCCCACTGGGCTGGCCATGTTCCCCTCACGCCCGTGGACAGCTCCTAGTGTGGCTACATGAGCGGGTCCTGGGAATCGAGAGACTGAGCTCCACTTCTCACTCTGGCACCAACTTGCGGGTGGCACTGGGCACACTGCTAGCCCGTCTGCGTCTCAGTGTCCTCATCTGTATAAAAGGGTTGGAATGAAGCAGGAATAGCAGATAAGAAGTGCTTCCTCCTCCCACACCAGTGGCAACTATAATAATCAATGGGCACTCATTCCCACCGAGCCCAGACACAGCCTCAGAATCCTTCTTAACCTAGCATCCAGGCAGCACCACCAATAGGAGGTGGCACCAGAGGTAGAATCTGTTTTACATCCCTGGACTAAATGATCTCTAAGGTCAGGGCTGCCACATTCACTTGTGCAGGCTGGTCGCTGCATAAAAGTGCCTGGCCAAAGGGGAAAATGGGGGCTGAAATCCAGCCCATGTTTCACTCTCCAAGCCTCAAAACCTGGCAGGGGGCTGTGCGTCTCTCACAAAGAAGCCCTACAGGTCAGCGGCACTGGTCCTACTCAGGCCCTCTAGGTTGTTGCCCCTGCTCTGGTGGGTCACGCCTGGCCATGCTGAGTAGTCCTGTTGAGGGCTGAGCTCTGGAACTGGTCACCTCCACATACCGCAGGCCCAGAGGCAGGCAGACCTGTCTCTTCAAACAAAATGGCTCCTGTCTCCCTTAGGCTGCCAGGGCACCAGTGATAGGGTAGGGATGGGGGAGGATGAAGTGGGGACACAGTTCTGAGTTCTCCCTTCTGCCCAGGAGGCCGAGTCCCTGGGTTCCTCTGCCCTGGGGCCAGCTCGCTGACCATGCTGGCGCTGGGATGTGGGTGGGGGCAGAGGGTGTGGTCCAGGGCAGCCAGCCTCCTCTCTCCTGCCTCAGCCCCGTCCCTCTGCCTTCCCCAGGGGTGTGGGCTTCAGCTTCCTCTTCGCTGCACCCCTCATCCTCCTCGTCTTTGCCACCTTCCTGGTGGGTGGCAACGTGCAGACGCTGGTGTGCCGGAGCTGGGAGAGTGGGGAGCTCTATGAGGTGAGCCTGCCCTGCTCCAGGGCCCCTAGGCAGGTGGAGGGACGTATAGGCAGAGCAGGAGGGCAGAAGGAGGTGGGAGCCAGAGAGGGCAAGAGGGAGACAGCAAAGGAAAGACAGAAAACCATTGAGGGATAAGGAGAGAGAGAGAGCCCATGAGTCCCTGGGACAGTGCTCAGGCCCCAAGGCAGGGACCCCCAGGGATCCCCCAGGCCTGAGCCCTTCTGTTCTCTGAACACTGAGTCTATGAACTGAGAATCCTGGTTCCCTGGCGCTTCGAGCAGTGAGCCGAGATGTTGGCCCAGATTCTCTGCTGAACACCAGGCTGGCCACCCCTCCTGGAGATTCAGGAGTCAGGGCCCAGGGTGGTTTGAGTTAAAGGCAGGGTTGGGTAGAGTCACAGGGTGTGGTCGCTGCTGTGCCAGGGCAGCATGGGACTAGGCCCTCGGGAGCTGGGACGGCCTTGCCCCCACCCCGCTCCAGGCCTTTCTCCCTGCCCCATCTCCAGTTTGCAGACACCCCAGGGAACTTGCCCTCGTCCATGAACTTGTCCCACCTTCTTGGCCTGAAGAAGGACATCAGCATCCTCCTGGCCTATCAGTGAGTGGGAACCCTGGGTGGGGGACAGGGTGTGAGAAGGAGCCAAGGTGGCCGTCCTGTTAGGGTGGTGTTAGCCCCCGCTTCCCTTTCCTTTCTCTCGTCTTCCATGCCTGCTGCTCCTCCCCAGGCAGTGCAGGGAAGGGGCTGCTCTCTGGAAGGTGCTGCGGCTCAATGACTCCTATGACCTGGAGAAGCACCTGGATATCAGCCAGGTAAGGGAAGCTTCGGAAGGCTGTGCGGACCCCTCCTGCAGCTCCCTCCTCCTCTGATCTTGCCTCTCTGGTGGGACTAGCTCCTTGAACCCTGCAAGAGAAGTCTGCAAGAGTGATAGGTACCTCGGGGGCAGAGTTCCCAGGTGCAAACTCAGGGCCTGCTCCTGGCTGGAGCCCAGGGGGGTTTGTAAGGTGTGTGGGTGGAAGGGAGCATGCCTGGAGGCTACCACCAGCTCTGAGCACTGTGCTCCGGGAAAACTGAACACAGCTGAGGTTGTAGCAGGAAAGGATGGTGTGTGTGTCATGACTGAGGACAGGCATTGGTTGGAATGCTGCAGTCAGAGTGGGGTGGTTGGGGTAGGGGATGTGACAGTGAAAATGATGGGGATGGAGTCAGGTGTCACTAGACGAGGCCTCCCCACAGGCCCCTTGCTGAGTTGTCACACCCAGTAGGTGGGGGCAGGATTCGAACCACCCAGCCTGTTCCCTTACCCACTGGACTTGGCTGGAACTTGGTGTGTAGAACTGGAGAAACTTATCCATGCTGGCAGAAGCCAGTTCTAGGACAAAGAGAAGGAAGAGCCGCTTCACGAGAGGGGATGTACTTTGAGAATGTGGTTCACCTAAGGGTGTACAGAAGCTGTGAAAGATTCCCTCCTTTCTTCTCTGCACGCCTAAGTGAGGTGGGAGGAAAGCTGCCTTGACTCCCAGGGTCCCTGGGGAGCCTTTCTCAAGCATATCCTAGGAAAACCCACATTTCTCCCGCCTGCTTCTCCTCCCATCCCCCCACCCTTAGCATAGTGACTCCTGCTTCTGCATCCTCTCCAGAGACCCTTCCCATGCCTCTTGAATCCACTGCCCATTCTCAGCCCATGGGGTAGGTTCGTCAGGTGGCCCAGAGTTCAGTCCCAACTCCACGCCTTAAACTGTATAACCTGGGGCAGTTTGCGTAATGCCTTAGCTGCCTCCTCCATCAGCATCTCTAACCAGATGAGAGGTCCAGGAGCAGACAATATCCCGGTGCTTGGCCACAGACTCTGCCCCATGGATGGGGGCTGGCCAGGGAGGGCTGCAGCAGGGAGCCTGGGCAGAGGTCCCATGCTGTGCTGGCTGGAAGTCGTGGCTCTCAGAGGGAGGGGTCTCAGGCCTGGTCCTGGGAGGGGAGGGGTCCGGTTCACAGAAGAGTCTGGACAGATAGGGCTTCAGAGGGAGTGAGCATTCCTTGGGGGCCATCTGGCAACATACAAATGTGACCTTAAGAGTACGTGTCCTGAAAGGTGATGATAACGAGCTTGTGATGCAGAGATGAATGAGACAAGTTGTGCTTTCCAGGGTGCCAGGAGGGCTCTGCCCGCCTACAGACATCTCCTGTACCTGTCAGTCACTGATGCCTGAAACGCTGGCCTAAGACCCCCATCTCTGAGAGGATTAGGCCTTTTCTCCCTGTGGGGAAGGCTGCATGTTGGGATAGGGAGAGGTGAGCAGAGCTGGGCTCCATTCTCTAACTTGCTGCGAAGCCTCGGGCAAGTGAATGCTCCTCTCTGGCCTCAGTTTCTCCTCTGTTAAACACTGTGGCTGAATTTCATGCCCTTTAAATCTCTTGCAGCAATGGTTGGAAAATACAGAGAGGCCCTTTTAAACTGCAGTCTGTCTTGGAAATCTGCTTGTGTCCATGCATTCATTCATTTTCACACACTCAACAAACTTGTACTGCGCCCAACACGTGTGAGCCTCTGCTCTAGACACTGAATGCTGGGTATGCATTGGGCAGACAAGGTGCCTCTCTCTTGGAGCTGGTGGCAGTAAACAAGTACACAAATAAATAATGTTAGAGTGACAGGTGCTATGAAGACCTTAACACAAGCTGATGTGATAAAGGTGGGCTGGGGAAGCTATTTTCTGTTGAGTGGCCGGGGAAGCTCTGTGTTACTATCCATTAGCCAGATAAGTGCTGAAGGAGAGCTGGGTCTTAGTGGGGTGGGTTGGAGTGGGGGTGGGGTGGGAAGCAGAGGCCTGCTGGGCGTGTCTGGGGGTGGCCCTAGGTATCCAGAAGGAGGACCCTAAGAGCCTGGTGACCACTCCCGTATGATAGCAGCTCTGGGGCTCTGGCTCAGTGACTGGGCATGCCTCCTGCCCTGTCTCCTCCCTCTCAGTACACCGCCAAGCTACAGCAGGAGTTACGGAGCCTCAAACTGGAAGTGAAGAATCTGGACTTGCTGAGCCCAGCTGCCCGCCGGGACCTGAAGGCCCTGCAGAGCAGTGGGCTCGAGAACATCCGCTACCCTGGCTTCCTCGTTCAGGTCAGCAGTGGGCACGTCAGGCCAGACAGGGGCTGAACAGAGGAGCCTGCAGCTGAGCTGGTTGAGGGGGGTGTCTCGCCTTGTCCTGGCCCTCCACCTTCCCTCAACTCCTCCACATGTCCCTGGGGCCTCTTCCTGTTGGGGGTATCCCCAGGTCACGTGCTGCAGGCGGGTCCTGGTGCTGCTACCTGGGCTGGGCGGGAATGAATCCGCCCCCACCCAGCAGCGTGTGTTGCTGTCCTTGGTTCTGAACCCACTACTGTGGAGAATGTTGGTGGGAAGCCCCCTGTTTGCTAGGTTACACGAGAGGATGCCTCAGTTTTGTTTTTTTTTTCCTTCTGTCCCAATGGGAAACGTCTGATATATTTCACAGGTTCAGGTCAAACCCACCGTGACTGATGTGTCACCATAGACTTAGCTGGTGTGGGGTTCTTTTGAAAAGACTGGGAATTGGGGGCTGGAGGAGGTGGAATCCATCCCCTCTTGGCCTCTCCTGTCTGTCTCCAGATCCAGAAGCCCGTGGTGAACACTGACATGGAGAAGCTGGCCCAGGAGCTGCAAGGACTGGCCCAGACCCAAGTGAGAAGGGAACAGACCCCAGTGGGCAGGCAGGAGTCAGCGAGAGACCTGGGACATGGGAGAGGATAGGAGTGCTCGGATTGGGGAGGGGGTGAGGGCAAAGGCAGGGGATTGAAGGCTGAGGCTCTGGACCCCCCTGGCTGGGCTTAAGGTTGTTGCAGTGTCAGTTCTGACTCAAGCTCTGCCACCAATTGGCTGTGTGGCCTTGGGCAAGTCATTCAACATCTCTGAACCTCAATTTCTTCACCCATAGAGTGGATTTTCCTCAACCTAGATCAGATGAAGTAACTGATCTGACATCATATAGTCAGGCAAGCATTTCTAAGTGCACACTGCTCGTGGACAGGATAGGGGAGTGGTCACCAGGCTCTTAGGGTCCTCCTTCTGGATCTGCAGGGATAGGCGTGAGGACAATACGATGGATCAGATATTATGACAGCTGCCCTCTAGGAGTTTAAACTCCGCTGGAAAAAATAGCAGTTTGTATTTATAAATATTTAAAGTTTAAGAAGCTCTCTTCAAGATCTCTCATAGACCCACACCAACCTTGCATGATGGGTAGACCGAGGAGCATTCTCAAGTTCAGCAGATGCCGTTGCGACTCAGACTGGTTGTGGGGCTCACTTTGGGGCACCGAGCAAGCTGGGAATGGACGTAGAACTTGGTCTTAGGCCCCCAAACCCAGGTCAGGCCGAGGAGCCTATGGAGGCCTCGGTTCTCTGCCTCTGAGCCCAGCGCTCTCCTCCTCCCCTTGGTTTGTCTGGTTGAACAGCTCAGTAAAGGATATACTGGCAGAGGCTGTCCTGTCCTGGGCAGAGTGCCATTCTGATCTCTGTCTCCCCTCAGGGCAGTGCTGTGCTGGGACAGCAGCTGCGGGAGGAGGCCCAAGGGCTCAGAAACCTCTACCAGGAGAAGGTCCTCCCCCAGCAGAGCCTCACGGTAAGTTTGGAGGCCCAGGGAGCCTGGGGCCTGGGAGAGAGGGGAGGCAGGGTGGGGGAATGAAAGAGGAGGGAGGTGCTGGGAACCACTCCCTCCCTATCCATCCCTTTCCCTAACCAGCCCTGATCTCTTCTCCACAGGCCAAACTCAACCTCAGTGTCAGGGCCCTGGCATCCTCTGCCCCAAATCTCCAGGTGGCTCCTGGGGATGGGGAGGATGGGGTGGAGCAGGAGGGCAGCAGAGGGAGGAAGGAGGTGTGGGCCCAGCTGGCTTGGGGCCTCGCCTGGTCTGCCAGGTCCCACTGGATGTTGAGGGTGGGGGTGGGAAGGAATAGGGGTGGAGGAGCGGATCCTTGAGGACCACCTTCTCCAGCCTCTGTGTCCTTAGGGTCTCACACCCCCACCCCGCCCCAAGGTGAGTATGTTGTGTGTTCTATGATGAATGAAGGGATGGAGGAGTGAATGAGTGGCTGCTTCCTGACTGAGCAGGGCACCGAGTTAAGTCCCTCCCCTTTCCCACAGCTGGAGACCTCCGATGTCCTGGACAAGATCACTAACCTAAGAGGAGAGCTGCCTACCTGGGCCACCCATATCCTGAAGAATGTGAGTCGGGGGATGGGACGGGGCTGGGGGCTGCCTCAGAGCCGGAGGTGGGCTGCAGGGGTAAGGCACATGGGGCTCCCACCCCAGGCTTCTCCAGCCCTGTCTCCTCATCCAGGAAAGCCAGCTCGGCCTGTCCTGATGGTGCCAGGCATTGGGGGTAGAGGGTGCTGGTTCCTGGGACTCCTGCCAGCCCAGGGCTCCTCTCTTTCCTGCAGGAAAGTGAGTGTTTCCTGACCCGGGAGATGGGCTACTTCTCCCAGTACGTGGCCTGGGTGAGAGAGGAGGTGAGTCAGGGCTCACACCCCTCCTGGCCTCAAGCAAGCTCCCAGCGGTACCAGCTATTCTCTCCTCTCCCCTCCTCTGCCCGCTTGACCCCCTTGGGAGTGCCCGGGGCCTTCAGGATTGAACCCCAACTCCCGAACCTGGCATCTGTGCCCCTGCTCGTGCCCGACCTCTGCCACAGCCCTTCTCTGAGGCCTTAGTGTGAGCCAGGCTGGCCACAGCCTTCTAGAACATGCTGTCTACACCTTGCCCCCAAGCCCTTCCTCATGCCAGCCCCCTCACCCAGCTTGTCTGAGGCCAACCCAGTCATCAGAGTCCACCTCCTTCTGCTGGCCTTTGCTGACCCCAGCAAGCTATCTGGCACCCACACTAGGCCAGCAGGCGTCTTGGTAACCTTGAGTGTGTCTGCGTGTGCATGTGCACAACTATGTGAGCATACGCATGTGTGTGCACACATGAGTGCAGTGCATATGTGTGTGCACGCACACACGTGTGTTACCTCTCCAGTGGGAGTGTGACTTAAAGCACAGTGCTTGGCACACAGTAGGGCTTAATACAGGCTGGAGAATGGGATGGAAAGGGCAGGAGCTGAGCAAAGAGCCCAGGTCAGTGCGTCCTCATCTCTCTCTACTCCTGCATCCATGTGTCTGTGTATAACTGTGCAGTGGCTCCAACTGCGTCCGTGTCGACCTCTCTCACTGAATATGGGTTGTGATGGGTGATGTCCAGGATGCTGCCTTGACTTGGTCACCAGACACTGTGGGTCTGTGTGTCCCTGCATGTACCTGCCTCATGTTGACACCACAGGTGACTCAGCGCATCGCCACCTGCCAGCCCCTTTCTGGAGCCCTGGACAATGGGCGTGTGGTCCTGTGTGACATGATGGCTGACCCCTGGGTGAGTGCTCACAGTTCATCAGGGCTCATGGACACTGAGGCCCCCATGGGAGGGGCAGCGTGAGCAGAGCCTGCCCCCAGGCCTGCCCTCAGCCCTTCCCCTCAGCTCTGAGAATGCTTCCCCATGCCCCTCATTGAGTCAGTGAGGGGACTAAGGGTGCAGAGTGGGCTGGAAAGGAGTCGCTGCCCAGCCACGGTGAGTTGACCTCACATCCTCTTTTCCAGAACGCCTTCTGGTTCTGCCTGGCATGGTGCACCTTCTTCCTGATCCCCAGCATCATCTTTGCTGTCAAGACCTCCAAATACTTCCGTCCCATCCGGAAACGCCTCAAGTGAGGAGGCTGCCAGAACCGTGGGGGGCAGCAGGGGCCCAAGAAGGAGACCTTCCAGCTGCCGGGCCTGGCCCCCTGCCACACCCCTCCTGAGACCTCAGGGGAGGCTCGGGCCCAGCCCTGAGGAGTCACACACTATGAGGAGCTCCAGGGCCAGCTCTGTGTGTCTGCCCCATAATCTTCTTGCTGCAACTCGTCCACCCAGCTTAGCTTCCTGGACTGTTTCTATACTGGAGAGATTCTGAGGCAGGAAAATCCGGGCTCTGGGTTTGCTCCCTACGTCGGGGCTGAGGCTCTGTGCCTGGGGACTCACTCACTCTCTTTCTGCGATGCCACAGCTCCACCAGCTCTGAGGAGACTCAGCTCTTCCACATCCCCCGGGTCACCTCCCTGAAGCTGTAGGACCCCAGTGGGTAAGTTTCCCCACCCCTTTGATTCGTTGGTGCCAGGGGCGGGGGTGGGGAGGAATGGGGAGGGGTTGGGATCTGGGGTCTCCAGGGCCCAGGAGGGCAGGAAGGTTCTGGGACTTGGGGTCTGGGCACTGGTCCCGTCCAGCAGGGGGCTGACAGCCTGAGGCCTGCTCTCCCCTCCTTCCCCCTCACCTATTTGGTTCTTAATCCGTGACAGGGATGTTTGCAGTACAAAGTGATGCCCAGGTTGCTGCCTGCCCCCTTGACTTGGCCTGGACCAGAGAACTCCTGTCGCTCTTGCCCCCAGAGCCCAGGTCACATGCAGGCCTGGATTGCCGCCCACTCCAGTTGTCTGACCCCATCTTACCTGTCTACCTCCATTCTGCTCAAGACCCCTTCACTCTTCCTCAAAAATGCATTTAACTTCTGTTGAACTACAGGGCCAACAGGTTCTTCCAGATGTCTATCCCTTATCCTCCTTGCTGCACTATATCAGCACCAGGAAGAGCCTGTCCTCAGCCTCTTGCGTGGGACAGACGCCCTGTCCCAGCCCACTCTGTCACCATGCCCCTCCCCTTGCCCACGCCTCCCCCCGCTGCTCTGCAGGCTCCTGGCCCCTTTCCTCATCTACCCTCCCCACTTGCCCCAGCTTCATTCTGTCCCCTCCCCAGCCCTTACGTCCTCTCCCCAGGGAAGCCCTTCTCCCCTTTGTTCCCTCTTGACCTTATCCCACCACCTTGCTGGCCCTCAGGGACCCCTGCCCAACCAAACTAATCAGTAAAGCCACCACGTAGGCCAGGGGCCAGCACAGCCCAGGTCTGGGCCGCTTGTGGGCTCGGCCTCATGGCCCCCAAGCCCTCCACAGACCCCGGCCTGGATTTCTGGTCCCCCAGGGTGTGAGAGATGCCTGTCACGAGGCTGAGCCCCTGCTTGCACCCTGGATTGGAAATAGTGCTGCTGTCCCTCAGCTCCTCTCTGAGCACTGACTCCCTAGGAAGGGACCTGAGATCTGGGCCAGAGCAGGGGCTCCCCCTCGGCTCCCCAGAAGGTGACGTCTTCCACAGCCCCCACCCAGCTTTCCCAGGAGGGAGCTAGTAGCCACAATAGGATTTTGCACTGTGGCCTTTACTCCCTCTGTCCTATGCATGTGGCGTAGGGACATCCCTAGTCCATCCCTGTGCCTGCTCTGCATGTTGGACCCTGAGTTCCAGAAACAGGAAAGAGGAGGAGGAGAGAAAAGAGGAGGTGGACAGGACCTCCAGTCCACTAAAGTGTGCTCACTTTCCTGAGCCTTGGCCTTGGGTCCTTGACTCCAGGTTTCCCAGGTTAGGGCCCTGTATGCAGTTGGTGTTTAATGAGAGTTTGTGGAGAGGAGATTCCAAGGCCTCCTTTGCCCACAGGCATCTAGGGATTACCCCAGCAATCAGCAAGTGGGGAGAGGGCCCACTCTGGGAGCAAGCAGACCTCTGTTCACATCCTGGCTGTAACGCTTGTTAGCCAGGGCACCTTGAATGTGCTATGTGGGTCCCCACGACCTCAGTTTCTCCATTTATAAAATGGGGAGAATAGTCAGAGCCTCCTCATAGGGCTGTGAAAAGCGTGATAATGCATGGAAAGCCCTTGGCAGAGGCCTGGCACTGAACAAATGCTGCTGTTTTTTGCCATGACTGTTCTGGGCCAGGGGCAGAGCTGGGTCTGGGCAGGTACAAGGGAAAAGGGCGATGGGTCCCTGTTCAAAGGCGCTTTACGACTGTAGTCTGGGGACTAGCCCCATGGCCGAATGGTTAAGTTCACGTGCTCTGCTTTGGCAGCCCAGGGTTTTGCCAGTTTGGATCCTGGGTGCGGACATGGCACCGCTTATCAGGTCATGCTGAGGCGGCATCCCATGTAGCACAACCAGAAGGACCTACAACTGGAATATACAACTATGTATTGGGGGGCTTTGGGGAGAAGTAGGAAAAAAAAAAAGAAGAAGATTGGCAACAGATATTAGCTCAGGTGCAAATCTTTAAAAAACAAAAAAGGACTTAAAAAAAAAAGATTGTAGTCTGCGGAGTTTTGAGAGTCTCTGTTTAATTGCTTCTTACAAACCAGAAACAAATTTGCTACTAGAAATTGGGATGGTGCACACACAGTGTATTGTCACTATTACAAGCACACTCTCAAATGAGCATCCTTGCAAGTAGCACAACTGCCTCTTTTTGGCTTTCCTCAGAGGTTTTTTTGCTCGTTTCTGATCAGCTACCCTGTGCAAGGGAAATAGAGTGCCCTGCATTTTAAGAATGAAATTGATGGGATAAAAAAAGAAATAGAAATTATTAAAAAATTATTTCCAGTTCTCTTTCAAAATTGCCTACCTTATCTTTTACATATTTGAGTATATTAAACGTAGGTATTTTAAAGTTCAGTAACCCCCTAATATGGAGCCTCCATGAGTCTGTTTCTAGTGTCTGTTGTTTCTCTTGGTTTTTGTTAATTTCGTCTTGTCTCCTCACATACTTGGTGACTTTTGATTGAGTCCCACACATTACATCTGTTAAACCTGTAGAAATAATTCAAGGTGTACAATGAAGTTATCTTCTTCCATGAGGATTATGTTTACATCTGGCGGGTGGCTTGGGACCTAGCAAACCAGGATCTCTTTAATCTACTTTCAGAGATGATTTGAGTCCCTTGAAAGGACTCAAATTTGAGATGATGTGGAGTCCCCTGAAGGGCTGGTCTGCTTCCGGTTCATTTGTATTCCGAGGTCCCAACCCAAAGCACGAAAGATTTGCCGGGCACCCCCTCCTCTTAGTGGGCCTCATTTTTACCTCTTTAGCCCCAGAGGCTGTTAACAGCTCTGCTCAGCATCTCTGCATTCTCTTCCGCGATCAGTGGACCCCCTAGGGAGAAAGTAGCCCCAGATGCTGGCACATGTCTCTGGGTTTCCTTCTTCCCCAGATATTGGCCCTGTGATTCTTTAGTGCCTTGTTTGCTCCCCGATACCCCCAGTCAGACTTGAAAATATATATATATATATGTATTTTGGGCAGCTTTTTAGTTAACCTCAATTGGGAATTTAGTCCAAATGACCTAGTCCACCATGATCAGAAGTTTTAGTCCTAAAAAATTAACTTTGATTTTCCCTGCTAATTGGCAAAAGACTGCCACTCTTTGAATTTAGTTTCCAGAAACCTTGGCTCAGCCAATCGAACACTGACTTTTCAAAGTAGCTGAGTTTGGAGAGGCTTCCTGGAGCTTTGGTTACTTGGGAATGGAGGTGGCACTTGGCAGGTGACAGAGAGACAGAAATAGCCACAGAGAAAAATAGATTACATATTTCCTTGATTTTAAAATGCTGGCATCTTAAAATGCTAATCCTACTTTATATGTGCAACAAAGCCCCTTCCTGGTCACATTCTCATCTGTTATCGTGACGTCCCTGAAGGCAATGGGGATCATTGCCCTTGTTTCACAGTTAAGCAAATGAAAGGCTACATGGCTGATTCAAGGTCTCATAAGCCGAATCCAGCCAGGCTTTGGATTCAGGTACCCTGGTCCTGGTGGCCTTGGAGGTTTCCTCCTGGGAGAAATGCCAGTCCCCATTCCCTGTGGGCATGTGGGAGGGAGGCCCTGTCTCCAAGGAGATTTAATCCAAATGTCCTTGCTGTCCCTGTGGCAGGAGGAATGACAGATTGGAGGCCCTGGGAGTTCTGCCAGAAGCTCTAGCCTGGCCATCCCAGAGCAAAGACCCCGTGAGCCATGAGTGGCAGATTCTGCCAAAGAAACGCCGCAGGGGCCAGGGCGTCCAAGGTCCCAAGTGGCTGGCTACAGCCGTTCTGGCTGGCTTCCAGGTGTGCAAAGGAAGGGCCACCTGGCTAGGGTACTGCTCGGACTACCTGAAGGGACAAAGAGAATTAACATTTACTGAGCTCCAAGTATAAACCAGGAAGTGTGCTAAGCACCTCACATGAATTAACTATGAGATATGCACTGTTATTTTTCTATTTATTATGGCTGAGTAAACCAAGGCACAGAGACTGGATGTGGGCTGAGTAGAAAGGGCACAACCTGCCCAAAGGAATCAGCTGATAGTGGTGGCATTTCAGGCGATATCTGAATTCTCTGGGGTCAGCCTGAGGCTCTGCTCTGGGTGGTGATTGACAGTGTCCGTCTTCTCCGCCGTCCCAGAGCCGGAACCTCCCTACTCTTCACTGCTAGTGCCCGGTCTCTCCAGGCCTGAAGGCCAGGGACTGACCAGGAGGCTGGTGGCCAGGCTGGTCCACACACCACGTGCTGCTGGAACAAAACCCCTTCTCCGTGGCCCCCATCCTGCCTTGCACTTCTTAGAGCCGTTAGCATCCACCCTGCTTACAGACACTGAGCACTGCAGCTCGGGGGGAGGGCAGGAGGAGGGCAGAGATGACCCTACCCCAGCCCCCGACCTCTGCCCATGGGTGATGCAGAATTTAGTCAACTTGAACCCTCTACACTGAACGGACCCAGGAGTCAGGTGTTGATGAGGTTAGAGGAGAGAGATCTGGGGGGAGGGGAGCAAAGCCCAGGGGGAGGGGTGAGATGCCCTCCCTTCACTTGAAGCCAGAAAGAAGGGCGTTTTAAAGAGAGTCCTCAGGGGGCTTCACGGTGTCCCACGCAGGTTGAGAAATCCAGTGGACTGATGTCCCACCCCCACCTGCAAAGTCAACAGAGCAAGAGACAGGCTGGCTGCTTGGCTGGCAGAGCCAGGAGAGGGCTAGCAGCCCAGCTGGGGCCTCCTGCAAAGGGGGGTCAGTGGGGGCCCTCAGGCCCAGTCCCAGGAGGCTGCCTAGAAAGTGAACAGACCTCAGCCGAGAGAGAGAAAGTAGAACTGCCGCGGGGTGTCGGGGCTCCTGGGCCCCCTGAGGCCCCCTGAGGCCCTGGTGAAATACCTAGTCAGGGGGACAGTGGGGAGTGCCCAGTGATGGCCAGACTCTGAGGACCTGTGGAGGCGCCAACAGGAGGAGGAGGCGTAGTTTTAAGCTTCCACCAAACCCAGAGTGTAGTTCCAGGACAGCTCCAGCTGGAGGGCAGGCTGATCACAGCCCCTGCCGGCTGCAGGCCCCCACCCGACCTGGGCTGGGCGGGGCGCCTGGGCTGCACAGCAGGAGGGCTGACCATGACAGGGGCCTGGACCTGAGCTGAGCCTGTTGTGTGATGTGAAGAGGTGGAGAGCCGTTGTATCTGCCAGGATTCTGTCCAGCCACGAGTGGGCAGGCAGCAGAAGAGGTCCTGAGGGTCAGTGGCAGACACAGGTGAGGCTGCATTAGGTGGCTTTCTGATTCCACAGTCGTGCAGGCTCACGGTGACATCCCGAATGCTGTGCTGTCCAGGGGAGGCTGTTTTTGGGTAACAGACATTTCTTGAGCTCCTGTGAGGACGGGGCTGAACATGCATGGAGAGACCCACCTCCTCCAGAGGGGCCTTCCTCATGGGCACCGGCTCTTGGTGGGGCTAGGGCCCAAAGACTGAAACTATGTATTGCGCGTCTCTCTCTCTCCTCTCCCTCTCTCTCTCTCTGCCCCTTGGCTAGGGGCAGGCAGAGTCAGGGCCTAGAAGAAGAGCCCAGGAAAAAGAAGCAGACAGGGGCTCTGTGGAGTCAGGCTTTGGGTGCCTGGGAGGAGTGACTGGAACTTGGGCCTGGAGTGAAGAGACCTGTGAGCAACAGTGTGGAAGGTCCAGAAGACCCAAGACTTGTGGGTGGGGGCAGTGCGAGCCCCTCACCAAGGTGGGATTTGAGTGAGGGCCCCCAGCCAGCTGAAAGGGCTACCCACTGCCTCCTCTCCTACTCAGTGTTGTAACAGGAGGAACAACCTTCCTCAGGCTTGGAATAATCCCTCCCTTTCCCCTTCCAAACTCCACCATCCTCGGGCTCCCACCCCTGACCCCCAGCGTGAGGAGAACCACAGCGGAAAGCGTGAGGCTGAAATATTCATGGCCAGCAAGGCGAGGTCCTCCTACAGCCTCCTCAGCCTTCTTTGGGTCTGATACACTGCCAAAGAATGTTTGGAAACTCCCAGGCTCTCTCCTGGGGAAGTTTGCCCTTGCCCACGTGCCCAACCCCCTGTTGGGGCCTCTCACCCTGCAGAGGCCCATGTGAGGAGGACCCCCTTGGGGGGGGGGGTCCTCCGCCTCCGTTCCCTCCTGCCCTTTCCCCTCCCTGCACTCCCCGTGGGCCCAGCGGGCAGTGCCTGGCCTTGGACAGGTCCCCAAGGACTCCGGTGGAGGAAGGGGCAAGAGGTGGGTCAAGGATCATGGCAGGGGAACACACACCCCAAATTTGTGTTTATGAGGGGCACCCCCTCAGTGGCGGCTGCAGTGGGAGGTCCCCAAGGCCCAAGGGCTCAGTGGCCTGGAAGGGGAGGACAGTTGTCCTGTTTTGTCACAGCTCAAAGCTCGCTAACTCAGAAGAAAACATCTCTGAGCAGTGGAAGTTCGGGAAGCACGCCAAGCCAGGTGGGGGGGTGACTCTCCAGAGGGCGGTGCTGCCCATACCCTGAGCAGGGCCAGGCCTGTCCTGGACAGTGTTGTTGGTAAGATTCGCAGCTGATATATGGAACATGGGAGGTGGGTGGGATCTTCTGCTCGTGTTCCCTTTGGGATGAAAGGAACAGGCTTTTCGTACTAGCTTTGTCACTTTCTCGCCTACGACCCTGGGCAAATCCTTTAACTTTTC